TCTCCGTGCTCTCGGCTCAGAACGGAGCTGGTTGATATTCAAGTCACTGTGTGACTTTTGCCTTTAAAGCATTAATTTTAATGAAACACGCGCCCCACTTGGCCACTCATGAGGGCCGCCTCCTCTAAAACTGGCTTAGTGACCTTCTCCTGCTGTTTCTACTTGATTCAGTGTCGGCCAAACGCCTTTTCATTCTGTAATCCTACAGAAACACCTGTTCTGTATACACTACGTACCCAGCACACACCAGGGCTTCGTGAATAAATATACGAGTACATGAACCCGTACTGTTGCTGTATAAAGTCTACCACAGTGAGTTACACCAACAGAGTCTACGGCTGGGAGAAGAAACCGTTGCTTTGATCGTGTATTCAACGATTACGAATCAATTTAGAAAAAAAAAAAAATCCAACCAATCAGGTTGTGTGATGTCAAAGTTGAAAAACATGCATCCATGTGTCATGTAAATTAATTAACTAATTATAACCAATGAGGTTCAGTTAACTTGGCTGAACTGAAGCTGCAGCTCAACAACAATAACATTGGAATGGCGCCCCCTAGTGGGTTCCGAACAGCCAGTGATTAAAAATATATACATATAATAATAATTGAGTCCCCTATTCTTCCCACAATGGGTAAAGTTAGTGTGAGTCTTTGCAACCAACATGGGCTGCCACAAGAGGCGCCATTCAGTACATGGTTGCAACTCACAGGCTGCCACATGGGGGGTGAGGGGGGGTACCATTAGGGATATGTGGTTCCTCTGGGAAGCAAACCCATAACCCTAAAATGTGAATCTATACACATATATACATGTATACATATATATACTGTATATATACACTAAAATAATATATTATATACTGTATGTGTATACATATATATAGTATATTAGCTAAGTTTATCTGTTATGTTTTTAAGTACATGTCATTCAGAAAAAAGTATTTGTATGTACTGGCCTTATAATAGTTGTGTACTTTGTACTCAGATCCAGTGGTGAGGTACCCGGGGATACCCACCCCTGAGAGGACACATGGTCCCTGCTTCTAGTGACAGCTTAGACGGTGTCTTTTTTTGGCGTATTTTCTGTCACAACAGGATCACGCCACGTCCCTCGTGTTCCTCTGTGGTCCAAAAGTGAAATGTTGTATCAATAAACCGCAGCGACAGTACACCGTTGGTATGAATTATTGAAAGGCGCAGCGGGTCAGATGGGGTTCTAATCTCCGCGGTGCTGTTAATTTGATGTTCTTGTTTTTCTTGTGTTGTATTCGACCTGCATTGCACCACCTTTCCAGGAGAAGGCGACGGACGGAGCGAGGCAGATCGCTGAGGACTTAATGAATGATCCACAGATGCTAATACCTCCTGCCAGCCAAGGTCCTGCTTAATAAACCCCAAGATGAGGTGGGCATGTGAGAAATGATGTGATCAAAAAATAAACCCCATCAAGTCGAGCCAACACCTGGAGCTGGGAGTGTGTGTCTGCGTACAGGAGTGTGGGTTAAAAGTGCATCGGGCAAGTACGCGCACGTACAGGATATGTTTAGTAACCTGTATCAGCGCTCTGCAGTGAATATCAATATCTAAAGCAGGCAGTTGATCGGGGGGGAAATGTGTGCTCAGCAGAGTGTGAGCTGCTGATTTGCGCTCTCATTTATCGCCCTGGCAAAACCCTGTGTTGCTTTCCACATTAATGGCAGGGGGAACCATCCAGCCTTGATGGAAAACAAACAGCCAGCTGACCATTTTCACAAAGTGGTCGATAGAAACAATAGGTTAATATCTGTCGGCTGCACCGAGACGGGGGACTTCAGGTGCAGGGGGTCTGCGATTTGTGGTCTTTATTTGTATTGTCAGAGGTTCTGAATGTAGCTCAAAGCACTTACTCAAGTGAGGGAGGTGTTAAAGCAGTGGTTCTCAACTTGTGGGCCGTGACCCAAATGCTGTCTGACAATTTTAGTGGGTCCAAGGACTTTGCCAAGACGAGCCTATGTCTAGCCTATCTGCACTTCTCAACAGTAGGTGGCGATGATACCCCTGTAATGTGAATTGATAATAAGAAAAAGGAGCAGTAACAACGCTAACGCTAACAGCTGCTTGTTTGGGAACATGAGCAGCTCATGTTAGGACAATGTTTCTCAAAGTGTGGCCCGCAAACCCAGTCTGGGTCATGAAACATTTTTAAGTGGGTCACAGGTAATGAAGCAATGATTCTCAAAGCTTTAGGAACAATAAACAACAAGGCTGCAGGGAGAAGACGAAGTGCAGAAGAGGTGAAGAAAAGGGCGGAGTGCCAGGGGTGAGTTGTTAGAAGCCTGATTTGATTGGCTTTGCTTATTAATTATTATTATTCTTGGACTGTGTATATTTATGCATGTTTGTTTTGCTGGAGTTTCCCCAAGAATACTAATTTCCACCAGTTCTCATCCTCCTTCCTACAGTTCCTATAGGCTCTCTCTCTCTCTCTCTCTCTCTGCTGCCCTTTATGCTCACTCTTCCCCATACTACCAATGCACCAACTGTAAATGTGCAGGCACGCCTCAGTTTTGTGTGTGGAAATGTTCCAGCGCGTACCTTTGTTCTTATTCTGCCTCAAACTTTTTACAAAAAGGGTCGTTCTGCCAAGTTTGTTGTCTTTCTGCAGGAACTATTGTTTCCAAAAACACACAGAATAGACTTAAGGTAACAGGACACGAGGTTGAAATGACCTAAGATATGAATGAGGGTGTGAATAATGACTGAAGAGCAGGAAACAGGTGCTGCTGCTGCTGCTGCTGCTGCCTCTGGAGTCCAAAGAATCATACGATGCAGGATCCTGCCCATCTTCAAAGTTGTATTTCTGCCCCAAAGTGACGCACATAAAATGGAACACTTTTCATGAGAAGACTTGGGATTTATTCACGAGCAGCAGCCCAAGTCTTGTGTGGACTGTGGTAAATGTCAGCCTGTTCCTGCCTGAGACGAAAGTGTGGTTGATGTTTGAATATTGACAAGAGTGCCACAGCAGGATGTTCTCCAAGTGTCCTCAAGGCAAAACAAATGACCTCTGAAAAATATGTAAAGTTCCAAATTGATCCTTTCTCCTCGTTGTGTATGAGAAGTCGAAACTGTGTTTTTATGAATTGCATGTCGTTGTTTTCATGTCGTTTGGTTTGGAGTTTTATTTTAAGACGACATTTTTAAGTAAAATGACATGGTGGACCAAATTCAGTCCTCAGGCCATGGGTTTGAAGTATGTGTCCTAAGCAGTTTGTCAGTCCATTACAGACAAACAGTTGAAAGATTATATGGGTTTAATATTTATTTATTTATACTAAAAATATAAAATATATTTATATCAAAATGTTCGTTCATATTAATTGGATTCAGATTCATCAGAAAAAGTTTGTTCACCTCTTCTTCTCGGCTGTTAAATGAAAGCAACAAATTGCACAATGCTGCCCCCTAATGGACAGGACTTGAGCATGCATACATAATTTAGTGTCCACATGTGTTGTGCTCAATGGAAACTACAGGACAAGAACTCAAACCTCTTAGTTTTTAACAATGAGGCAACAACACTAACCACCAGTCCACCATGTCATTTAAGATATTGGAAATTATAGGTAAAAAAATGGTAATTTAATGTTCTAACACACAGGCTGCAGCCTTTTTCTTTTTTTGCTCTGAAAGCAAAAACCAAACACTGCGTGCGAGGCGACATTTCCTACCACCCCCAACCTTCACATCCTCCAACAGCATGAGAAGCAGCTTTTCTTGAGCTTCCATGTGGCAAAAATCATTAGCATCACCGGCAACATAACATGCAATGGCATTTAATGTCCTCCCTGCTCAGTAGTAGACGCCAGTGGCACTGTGATGTACGTTCGATTCCTGCGCTGACGATGATGTGAGGTGACAGCGGATTTGCTCGCCATTGGTTGAAAAGAAGCAACACATCCGCGGATAAGAGGGAGAGCTAAGATATTTCCCTCTTTTGAACCGCGTTCCTGTCATCCGTCATCTTCCATAACCATAATCACGACAAACTACGTTTCGTGGAGAAAATGCGGCAGTGAACGAATGCAGATCCTGTCACACACGGTGGATCAGACACGTTCAAAAACCCAATTTCCCAGATGGAAGAAAAGTGAATTTTCTTTTCTGAATCCACCAAGAAACCGTTGACTTTCAGCCGTGCTGTCTCAGAATCTTTACACTGTAATTGCTCGGGGAACATCTACATCTACAAACCTACAATTATCACCACACACCCTGTGGTCACATTCACTGCCGTGTCATCCGCATCGACACAAGAAATCCACAACTTTCCGCCTGCATCTAGAAAAATCAGGCAATATTTCTCACAGTCCACAACAGAGACCTAAAAATATATCCAGCCTGCCGGGGGCAGCACTGGTAGAGCCACCACAGCAGACACTGACACTGCATTAAAGAGAGGGCTGAATTTTACCATTGAACAGGTTGAAGCTTTCCGCGAGTGTTGCAGCAACAGATGCACCAGGCGGCAACAGATGTTTACACGAGCTGGCATGAAAAAGTGAAACACAAGAGAGACTGACAGAGAGAGAGTGTGTGTTTGAGCATAAACACACTGATCAGGAATCTTCACAGCTCACACTGACATGAAGGCTATGAAAAAATAACAACAGTTTGTCAAGGTTGTTGTTTTTTTTTCTTTTTAATCTAACTGAGAGACAGCACGGAGCTGCTGTGGTGTCAGTCAGCTGTGAGGCTAATCTATTAAAGATGTATAAGCTCTGCTCTCCGAAGCAAACAGCCGAGTCAGTGTGAGTTTGTTTAATACACCGATCTCTTCCTGCCGCCCTGGGGTCGCAAGAACTCATTAAAGAAACGGCGTGGAACTTTCTGCACGCGACTCATCCGCGTTAAACAGCCGGAGTAAAGGAGTAAAAAAAAAATAGCTTTGAATCTTTTAAAATGTAAAGCTGAAGATACTGTCCTGAAAATACAGAAGAATTCATTTCTGTTCTTACCCTGATCCTTGTGGTCAGAGCTCTGGCTGGACAACAGGAAGAGGAAATTCTGGCAGGTGTCCTGGTCCACCAGGGTGCTGTTGTGGAGGCAGAGGTCAACAATCAGGGTCACAGCTTTCTGACAGACCATGTCATGCTCCTCTTGGTCAGAACTCATGCTCCCAGCTGCATCCTCAGCCGCGTGCGCTCATCCGACGGGGACTAACACACCCACACGCACTCACTTGCACACACACACACACACGCTGTCAGACGTAGCAGCACGGCGGCCAGATGATGAATGCAACTTTGTCTCCGTCCGCGGCTGATCCTCCTTTGTACTTTGGAGCTGGGCTCACGTGCATCGACGCACAAACACACTCGGACGCACAACCATGCCAAGTGGATGAGCACTGGGCTGCATGCATGCTATGCCTTGTGTGTGTGTGTGTGTGTGTGTGTGCATAATAACACTTGTGCCCCTGGGGCAGTAGAAGGGACAGCATTGTTGCATCACGTCGGTGTAGAAGCAGCAGCAGAACAACAACAACGAGGAACACAACAAGTGTGTTAGTGCAGTGACCACTACAGAACACCCTTTTTGCTCTTTTTGCCCCCCCCCCTCCCCCTTCTTCAATCCTGCTGTAGTGCTGTCACCGTTCACACTCCACCTCTGAGTGTGAACCAACTACAAAATTAAAAGCTGATAACGACCACAGGGCTTGTTTTTCTCTCTTTGCCTGACAGGAGCGCTCCCTGCAGGTCAGAGTGTCTCCTGTGGTACATTTTCCCCAGGCTGAACCACCTGTGACTGCCAGGTCTCCTCGTTCCCCGCTGACAATCCCCCTTTGTGCTGATTTTGATCCCTGTTTACAAGCTATAATGATGATGGTCTAACAATCTGTGTGTGGGTGTGGGTGAGAGTGGAGGAGAAGGGGGGAGGAGGGGGGAGAGGAGTGAGGCAGATCATTAGGCTGTACAGCATACAGATGCTGATGCAGTACTTTCGCAGCTGGTTTATGACAGGTGGCTCACCTGAAGGTGAACGGAGTTCCTGTTACTGCTCTAAATGTTGAATGAACTTTGAGTTTTTGTGTTCAAACAAAGTGAGTAAAACAAGGCAAAAACAACAAAATTATGTAATTAGCATTGACGTTAATGAGCGAAAACAATGCCTGCTGCAGTGACATGTAGGGCTGCTCGATTATGGTAAAAAATAGAATTATTTGGTTCAAAATTGAAATCAAGATTTTTGTGTTTTCCAGAGTATAAGTCGCACCAGTGCCCTCTAGTGGCTGTCATTGTAAAAATAACAAAAATGTAAATTTTCAGTGGTACAGGAGTAGCAGATACTGGTACACAAGCCTAGAGTGCTCTCTAGCAATTGTCAGCGTAAAAATAGCAAACGTGTGAAATTATATATTTGAAATTATAAGCCAAAATGAATGAAAAAGAGTGTGACTTATAGTCCAGAAAATACGGTATTTTAAATAATTACTCACTGACTCTTTACCTGGTTCTATTAACTCTACCATCTGGTAATGATTTAAAATGAAAATTCATTTCCCTGTTTCTCAAAGTTATTTTCTCCGGTTCATGTGAGAGCAGCAGCAATCTTAGTCCCTCCCCTAATGTTCTCATTGGCTGAGTTTTCTCTAACCCTAAACCTCAGCACCTGCTACTGGAGCAAACGTCTTATAAATGAACTTTATTCTACTCTCTATCTCAACATGTGAGTCTCTAGGGTGTAAAAAAAAACTAATTGACTTCCCTGTGATTTTATATTGAGTTTTTAACCATATAAATAATTAGACTTTATTTGCGAGGATTAATTAAAGTAATTTAATTTAAACTCGGCTGCAGGGAGAACAATTGAATCCATATCTACATAATATTGAGCTCGGGCGGATCATGGTTGACTCCACAACTTAATTGAGTCAAACCCGAGCGTAAATACTGTACTGTCTACTCTGGTGGGCTCCTCCTATCAGATAGCAATGATAACTGAGTTATTGAAGCCCAGAGCCGGCCCCTCCCCCTCCCTAGACTCCCACCACCACCGTTGGCTCCACTGTGATTTCCTGTTCCTCAAGATTAGATCTACACTCCTCGGACAATCCTAATTAACAGGCAAATAAGAATTTGTGACTGACCGGGGTTTCTTCAAAACAGTCC